TTCTGTACCTATAAAGTTCTGACAGTTATGAATTTTACTTTTCATTTTTCCCAAATAATTCTGAATTGTCAGCATCTGAAGAAGCCCTTGTTCCTGTTCTGAAATGATTTGCCATTAGGTCTGGAGAAGAGCAGCTAGCATTTCTGCAGACCCCACATATCTTCCACACAAACTGTTTAGACTTTAACCTTCATATCGGAGCTACAGACCCCTATTTGCAAACAAGAACAGCACCACAGACAGTTCCTCCCTTCAGGGTGTGAATGTGATGAACACCAGATACCAATGCTTATTTACACCAACCCAACATCGTCTTCCTCTTTTGTGAGAATTTATATATTTATAAGATATTTTTAGTCTCCTTGTTTTATATATCTATACTTAAAGGTCACCACTAAGAGCAAAGTGGAACTACTGTGTAATATTCCTTATTTGAGTTTAAAAATTTGAGTTCTGCTTAAAGATTCCTTTACTCAGTCCCACTGTTTTCCAGTACTTATGTTATGTAGTTATTTTTTCAATGCATTTTGTATTATTTGTAAATTTTCTTTCCTTATTGTCACTGTTCAGCTTCCCCTGCAGCTCATTTAGTCACCTGTTTATTGCTCTTGGAATCACTTCCCTGTATAATCATTCCAAATTTCCCTACTTGTGTGGTTTTCTGGTTACTTATAATCAATAATGTTCTCCTGCAACTTTGTTGGCTGGGTTTGATGTTTACATCCTGGTCTGCCTAACTCCTGTCTAAGTTTAGGACCTATACTACTGAAATTAGAAGAATGATACTGAATCCCAAAGGAAGCTAACCACAAAGTTTTACAAAACAAGAGTTTGTTTTAGCAGATCTGTAAGTATTTAACTAAACTTCATTTAGTTAAATACTTTAAAAATCTTGCAAATGTATCTTATTTTGAAAATAAGATTGTGTCTTTTTAGGCACCTCAGTCAACTGTGAAGGTTTAAATAGCTGAACTGAACATCCCTGTAGACTGATGACCATCTAATGATCGCTGGAGATAAGCTTAGTCCTTCCGGTATAGATGAAAATGGATAGACAAACTTTTCACTGTTTGGGCTTTTTTCTTTGTCATCACAGTAAACTCAAATACATCCAAGTATAATAGGGAAACACTAACACACAAAAAACTCAGACTAAAATGTTCTGTCCTTTCTGAAAAACAGAATTCATTGCCATCCACCCTACCCACACAACTTGTTTGGATTTTTCCTTGTTCATGACCAAAAGGTGCACTAGAACTCCCTGGGGAACACTGAGAATAATCCAGAGTGCCTTTACTCTGCAGATCCCAAACTGATAAAGCTATATAGAGCAAATTTACCCAACAATACAATACAATACAATTACCCAAAGCAGGTCCACCCAGACTGACAGCAAAGCCAGTGGATCGATTGCCAACTTGAAAGTCAGTCACCCAGGAGCCACTTTGTTTTTTTGTGCATAAAGTGACAAACCTGAACAAAATATAATCAATTTGTAAAATGTTTGTAATCAATTAACTAATCATGTCAAAAAACAAAAAAAAATCTCCAAAATTGTTAAAATATCTCTTTTCTCTAGTTCTGGTAGAATCCAACAATAATGATAAACTGGCCTCTCACCTTTTCCTTATATGTAATAACAAACCTTTCTTTAAAGGGACTGTTAAGGAAAACACAACAAGAACTGCATAATGTAGAACTTCTAACAGATGGAAACAACTAATTTAAATCATTCATATGTCGCGTTTTGCATGCTCCATCAAAACAACACTTTTCCCTTTTAGACCGACAAGCCTTTTTGCATCAATGCTCATTTAAAACCAATTATCTGCAGTTTTTCTATGAAAAGCTGTTCAAAGAATGTTGGGTGGTAACTTGTCATTTAGATTATTCAGACAAATTTGCAATAAAAAAAATAGGAGAATTCTCTTCATTGGATCAAAAGTGACAAAAGATTACTGGTTCTAATATTTATAAAGTTGCTTAAAAAACATCTTATATATTCAAACTTAAATAACTTAATTAATATCATATACATATCAGTATTATTTTAAACAACATTTGATAACTTGTGTTGTTATAAGTATTGTAGCTGATAAATAATAGCAAATGAAAAATGATTCAATTGTTCAAATTTTTACAGCTCTGCATGTGCTCATATGCAGAAACCATTAATACAGGACAGGTATGAAATAAAGTCAAGATTAACCTTTTTTTATTTGGTTTGCAGGGGAAGAAAGAGAGACATTAGAGTAAAATATTTTTTTTATGAAATCATAAACCAATTACTAACTTAATAAGATTAAATTAAATCTACTCTACTTGAAACGTTTGTCCCTCTAGCTTTGAAAAATGTGTTAAAAAGATAAATGGCCATTTATGTCAGAGGGGAATCTAAAGTCATGCTGTGATGCATGAAATTTCCAACATCTGATTAATGGACAAGCAAAGAAGTCTCAAATTCACTCATATGTGCAGTTTGCAGGGGTCCTGGTGAGTTATGTTTTTTTTTTACAGTATAGAATGACGGCTTTGTGAGGCTGTGACGGGTTCTGTATGAAAATGTAGCTTGTTTTTATTAATGTAGGTCTCCATGCACTCTCCTTTCATCAACTTATCTAACCTTGTCACAACCGAAGGTCCTTTACATCCGCCCTACTCAGTCACATCCTACAGCTGATCATGAATAAATCTGTCCACAAGCAGAGTTATAGGCATTCAAACCTTGTAGTCGCCTGTGAGAAGCAGGTACACACTTTCCAAATCAACCTGCTGTTGGATTTCATATCTGTCAAACCAATGCCAGCTTTCTCAGGGCACTGCAGCACGTACTTCAAGTAGACCAAGCTGACAAACTCCCATCATAAAGTAATGGGAATATGAGCAGCCTTGTTAAGCATGCTGTTCTGGTGTCTCATCCCATATATTTTTTCTGCTATTGCTACTACTCCGAAGAATCTAGATGTTCATTCCTGCAAAAACACGAGAAAACTTTCAGTCAGGATGTCCTGTACACCTCTGGGAAACAGTAACAACTAAAAACGAGGATATCATTTGTCAAAAAGATATAACCAGAGGACATATGACAAATGTTATGTTATCTATAAAAGTGACCTGACTTCTAATTGATAAAGTGATTCCATCTGATTCAAACCAATTCTAATCCCATCTAATTTGGTGTTTTCTTATCGTCGTTCATATTAATTATTCATTCAGATACAAGGGATAACTCAGAAATATGAGACCTGAATAGAAGGAAAAATTATCTGTGCTTTTTCTGTGCTACCCCCTCCTATTGATGGAGGAAATATTAGCACCCTAGCTGCAGTTCAGGGGCGGAGCATGGGTGACCAGCCCTAACCAGAGGATTTCCTGTTTCCCTCAGGGGGTGGCAGCATATTACTCTCTAATTATCAATAATTTTTTTCCCAATTAAACCTTCTTATTGTTAGTATCATAATCATAAACTGTCAGCAAATATTTAGTTATACAATTTTATACTAAGATTAAAGCTGACAAATATAGCATTCTTTTTTTCAGGACTATTTTTTGTGTTTTATGGTAGATAAAGGAAAGTTAGTGTCTCTGGATGTCAGCTATGTCTCTTCTATGCAATTAATTTTGCTTAACTAATTTTACAGATGTGATTAATTAAATTCCATTAATGTGTTTATGATGATTCATTTAGACAGCAGAAAAGAATAAATATCTGGGTGTATTTAGAAGCAAGGCCTTAATAAAAATGTGATCTATCTTTAGTGATTCATTTGGAAAATGTCAGATGATGTGAGCGTTCATTTTCCTGATGGTGCAGTGTAGAATGACCCTGACCTAGTATTGGTTCCTATCACTGGTCTCTGCCTTGCCGCCCCCATGAAAAGCTGCAGAGTGATGGTGGATAGCTGGGATGACTTGACATTTTTTTTCCGGAAGTTTATGGTTTATTTCCAGATTCCTGCTGTGACATATGGATGGTGTTTGACCTTGAGTTAAGAATGACTTAAAAATGTTATATGAATTCAATCAACTAACTATAGAGGAAACTGAAGATACTTAAATAATTAGACATTTAGAGAGGTGTAAAATAACTATATTGTTGGTATTTACTTCCACTAAGGCATTAAGTTACATTCAGGGTAACTTCAGTATATTTTTGTGATTTCTTTATTTATTTCAAGGCATGCATTCCTTTTTCTCTAAAATGTGATTTCTTTCTCCTTACTGTACTAAGTTGTTGACTCATAGCCTCTAAAATTGTTGTTAAACCTATTGTTTGATGACATTTGTATTCCATTCGATAGATTAATGTAAGCGAGCAGAGGATTTCAGACTTCCGGCATCATACCTCCATCACCATGTTTACATTAATAGGCAGATTTCTTTCATCAGTACTTATCTAGATTAAATATTTCAAATATTTTCTTTTTTATTATTAGATTTTTTTTTGTTATGATCTTATAGTTAAATGGCTCTAACCAATATAGATTAGACACACAGTATAGTTGCTGTAAATGTTATTACATTATTACGTATTTAGAAAATTGCCTAAAGCCCCTGCATTTATCCATTCACTGTATTTATTTTTTTCCCAGTTTGAATCTAAATATCACTGTGACATGAGATAAGATTTCAACTGGTGGTGAGATTTTAAATGCAGAGTGATTTAGCAACATGAAATTAAGAGGATTTGCTGATGCATAGTGTTACAGTTGTGCTTGAAAGTTTACATACGTTCCCAATAAAGAATACATAAACACACACACACACACACACACACACACACACACAAACACACACACACATATACATATGTATACAAACTTTCGAGCACAGTTGTATGTCAATGTGTTGAATATTTGCTCTTTCATATGTTTAAACATATAAAAGAGCAATTATTCATTTATTTAATAATTACAAAAGTGACAAGGATTTACTTTACACACTTTTGAAAAAGAATTCTTTATTTTACATACGAAAGCATTTTTGTTAAATCTGGGTTGGATCAGGATATTCTAACAGTCAGGTTTCTTTTTATTTCGTTATTTCTTTATTTACAAGGGTAATATAATTCGTTGTGTTGCAGAGGACAAATAGATTTTACCTTGATAAATCTCCCATTCATTGTGGTCTGGAGCTGCACTGAGGTGAAGTGCTAAACACTGTTCTACATGTTCCCAATGTTGAACCAGACCATGCTGAAACCTATTAGACCATTCTGAAATAAATAATTTCATTTTTATTCATTCCGCAAGGACTTATGATTGTTGGATTAGCATGCATTGAACAGAACTGAATAAACAGCAACTTTTTTAGATTTCTTTACCTATTAGGTAATTTAAATCCTCAGTTTCAACCGACACATCAGCATTTTCATACCTGTAAACAAAAAATGTTACCCCTATGTAATAATACTGTGTATAATTATTATTCCCCATGTTTTAAATGAGAAATAGAGATAAATATAAAATAAAAAATAAAATTTCCACATATAATTTCACTGGATTTTACTTCACAAAGAGTTGAAGTTACACTTTGCATTCACTAATATTTATTTTGATAAAATGTTGAGTTTTATAGACAATTAAAATATTGTTTTTCAAAGCAGATACAAAAGGATCTCCTTTAAGGATATATTTGACACAGATTTGGTCAACAGGCTACCAAACAATATTGAGCATGAACAAATTTAGTGTTGAAGTGCATCAGCAGAACTGATGTAACTGTGTCGTATGGAGAGGGGTCAATGTTTGAGCAGAGGCCACAAACAAAACATCTTTTCCTGAACTCAGAAGAACATCAGACGTGGTCTAAATGTGAACTACAGACAGCCTTACATAGAGATGTTCCTGACAGTATTACCATGGCAACCAAAAATAAAGGTTTTACATCAGTACTGGGAAATAAATAAAGAAAGTAGAATTGTACACCAAGATAATTGGTTTTTTTTTTACGTCAACAGCTCGTCATGCCATGGTTTGCTGAAGGCCTCCCAAAATTAAATGGAAACGTAACATAACATATTGAAACATACCATTATCTGTAAGTATTCTATTTTTTTTGGACTAAGAAAATAATTTTTTAATGGCTAGAATTCCTTACGTATTATTAGGCTTTTATCAGACAGACAGAATAACAAAATAGATTCGTTTTAATAGCAGGTAGAAAACATTTCCCTAGGTGGGTACGAAATAAAACATAACTACAATGAAGGTGTTCAGATTTACAATCGAGGCAAAATGACCAGTAGAGCTTAATAAAGAAGTCACATTAACAAACAGGGATCTTTTAAATAGAACTTCAAAACACATTTATTAACAGCAGACATGAAAAAAGTTTGATTTATTTTTGAAACATTCACCAAATACCTCGTTTTATAAGATGATAGGCAAAACTCATTTTTTTTCTAAATCTGTGACATTTTCTCCAAATCCTCCATGATCAGATCCTGCTCTCTAACAGCGTTTCTACTAGCTAAACAATCGTCCTCCCGCCTCGAACACCCTCCATTCCCTACAAAGAGCGACCCAGCTCTGGACACTGGTCTGCTGTGGGATTTTGGGTGGACCGGGAGCACAGCGTTCCCTCTGATCCGGTGGGAGAAGGTCCTTTGGCGCAGAATGTCAGCGGAGCACAGCTGGAACTTAAAAGCTGCCTGAAAGCCTTTACGGAAGTTTTCATTGAAGAAACCGTAGATGATTGGGTTGATGCTGCTGTTGAAGAAGGCTAACCAGTGAGCAAAAGGGTACACATAGATGTTAATGACACGGTACTGGTGTTCTGTTAAGCTGGCGTAATCGCTCAGCATCATTAGCGTCCATAGAGGCAGCCAGGATAAGATGAAAAGCAAAGCAACAACCAGGAGCATCATTATTACCCTCTTCTTCTTCCGTGTAATTGTCTGACGCGCGTCCATGCTCACTTTTTTACCACTGCCCTCTAATGGGGCACTCCCACTGCCTCCGGCTTGAGGAAGAGTGGTCTTAAAGAGGGTGAAACCAATGCGTGCATACATGATGACGATCAGACTTAGAGGGGCAAGGTAGATGTTGGCAAAGAGGACTGTAGTATAGATCTTCCTCATCTCTTGACTTGGCCAGTTCTCTCTACACCAGTAAAAGGGGCGAGTATCACTTTTGGGACCAAGGACTATTCTCACTGTCTGCTCCTTGGTGACCTGGAGCATGACCCCTGAAGGACACATAATGAACACGGCGAGGACCCAAATGATGACGATAATTAGCTTTGAGGTGGGGATGGTCAGCTTCTGCTTGAAAGGGTAGACGATGCAGCGAAACCTGGTGAAAAGACACATTTTCAAAAAGATTTTTCAGAACCAGGCGCAGAGATGAAAGTGACTGGTAACGGAGGATGAAATACAAATCCTCACCTGTCAACAGCAATGGCAACGAGGGTGAAAACAGATGCTGACACAGAGATCCCTTGAACCATCCCGCTCAGTTTACACACAACGCTGCCAAAGGGCCAGCCTGCAGAAACAGCAACAGAAAAAGCTTTCATAGCACGAGAATAAAAAACAAAGGGCAGTGCTTTAAGAAAAAGTATTCAGATCCCCACAGCTTGAGGGAATTTATGTGAAATTCCAGTAAAAAGTAGAGCCTTGCAGTCAAGTGCCAGCTTTGCACATCTAGGGATTCAAATTTTCAAACATGTTGATCTAAGTTAGTTAGGGTGTAAACAGTATTATATTTACTACATGTTTTAATAATGTCCACTGAAGACTCAAGTCTTTGCTTCATCTATTTCCCTCTCGGGATACCCTATATTTGGTTATCTTTGATTTTCATTAACTTTAACCACCTCCAATGCAAACATTTAAATGTGCATTTATACTTTTGGGAGTATGAATCATCTCATTGGCTCTACTATACATACTGACTTGGAAATCCCTTGACTACCTGTTATGATGTTGTCCACAAGTGTGGTTGGCATGCAGAAGATGCCAACCAGCAGGTCACTGATGGCGAGGTTGAGAATAAACAGATTGGTGACGGTTCGCATGTTCCTGCTGCGCAGCACGATGAAACACACCACACCATTGCCTACCATGCACACCACAAAGTTGAGCAGGTAGGAAACGGTGAAGACTGCAGCCACAGCGGGTTTGTGGAGGTAGAAATCCACATAGGTGACGTTCTGTTGAGGTGAAGACTGGTTTTGCCAGGAGAGGTTCAGCTCCTCCAAGGTGGTATTATAAGCTAGAATCTCAGTCATTGTGGTACCTGGGTGTCAAAAATAAAGAAAGGGAAACCAGACCAGGTAGCTGTGTCATGTATTGGAGGGAATACTGTAAGTCCTTGACATGTAAAGGCAAGTTGTTGAATAAAAACGTCCTCATGAAAGGAACTGAACACCTTGACATTCACAGCAAGATAACAGTCCTGCAGAGTAGGAGAATCATGTTTTTTATAGCATAAAAATTTGCCTCTTGCAAATTTCAGAGCAGCTTTATTGCGTCCTTAGATTAATTTATATATCTTGATTAAGACAAGTTTGTGTTCCTTCATTTTACCCTAGAGAACAAGGAGACCTAAATGAACAGGTATTACTTCACACATCCAGTCGTCACCTTTTCCTCTCACCTCCCACTCCTGCATCCTGTAGAGACTGGCCCTTATGAAATCTCTGCTCTGTTTCTGATCTCTCAGCTTTTTTATTCTCTCTGCTGGAAATGCTGGCATTCATTGCAAAACAACTTCCATGTCCAATATTTTGGATTTTCTTTGTTCATTCAAATGCAAAAATAAGGTACAAGAATGTGATCATAACCAAACTGATTATAATTTCTTGTTGGATATCATATGAGAAGTTTCTAATAAGATTCAAGTATTTCCTGAGTGAAACTTGATATGATGTTATATTAACAAAATATTTCTGCAGGATTTGAATTAGCATTTTTAACCTTAAAATAAGATAATTAGATATGATGCACTTGAAATAAGACACTGTGGTTGTTTTGTTCTTATTTTAAATGTAAATTGTCTTATTTCATTGGAAATGTGTCTCACTTACCTATTCAATACAAGAAAAATGTTCTCATTCTAAGAAAAAAGCCCTACTTAGATTTATATTTTTTGCAATTGGACTTTGATTTGATTGATAAATGTGAAATCTATACCGATGGAATACTGTGAAAAAGTAACCTTACACTCATATTGCAGCTGATTAAAATAGAACCTGTCTGACGACATGAGGTAGGCTACATTAGGGCATCTCAAAATGCAATAAATTACTGAGAAACAAAGTTTCTAACATCTGTTTATTTTTTGTATTTCCCGAATCACAGTGAGAGCTTTTATGCTGTGAAGAAATTAGGAATAGCAATAACCTTCCAATCAGATTGCCTCGTTTGGATCAGTAAGGGTCACCAGTCCCGACTCTTAGAAAGAGACAAAGCAGAAAACCACTGGAGACCTCCAAAACAAAATTAACTTCTTGACAAAAATCCCTTAAAGTGCAAAAATATTCTGACTTTTTGCACCTGGGGTAAAACTAACAAAATTTTATTAAAATAGCATTTTATTGCTTTAATGTTTCAGGACCTGGAGCACTTGTGCACATTGATTAAACAGTCGTAATAAAAAGCTGACCTCTCCAATAAGGCTGCTAAATTCCCTTACATCAAAACCAAAGACTATTTGTCAGTTATTATAAACACATGAAGCTGAACCAGTTATTAGTTATAATCAGATGTAGGAACATAAACATTTCCACATACAGTCAGGTTGGTTTGTGTAGTTTTTTTATTATAATTTTCAGGTTAAACCTTTGTGATTATCAAATTTAAAAGCAGGAACAAAAGTTATCTATGGGGATAAACCAGATCAAACCTTAATATTTTTAAGATCGTCAGTCATGATATCTTTGTCACATTTTTGTTGAAAAAAGGGATTATAGTTCAAATACTTAAAAAAAAATTTAAATAACTGTATTCAAAGAGTTCAAAGAGAATATAAATATGAAAAAATGTATTGTGTCTGATTATGCTATTAAATATGCTAAAAAATATCTGAAACAAACCATAGCAGATCCTAAAAGTTGCAAAAATTATGATAAAATCAATGCTTTTATCTTAAAGGAAACAGTATTTAAATAATTTGCCTTACCCTGTGTGATTAAAGATGCTTTAAATCCATTTCACAGAAATTCCCCTTCGTTCAGAGCAGGAAAGCCACACGCTTTCATCCTGTGGATCTGCTCAGTGCTCCTGCTAGGGAGAGACTGCTGTTGCACTTATAGGTGAAACACGAGATACACTCTGGAGAGATGCGTTGGGTGCAGTGGCGGCTGGTGAAAAATATTTTTGGTGGGGCTGATATAGCCTAGTGTATGTCTCCAACTAATCCGGAATAAGAATTCGATTAAACAATTGGACAATACATACAATTTAACAGTAATGATTTAATTTACTATATAATAACAGTGATGATTTGGGTCACTGTGACGGGGTTCTTTGGCCTCCAAGAATCCAGGCTCAGTCGGGTTACCGGTGTTGCTGATTTATTGAGCTCAAAAAATCAAAACAGGGTGCAAAAGAAACTAAACATATACCAGATACTCTGGGCCTCAGCCTCCCTCCAGTTACCAGCAATGTAACAAAGAAACAGAAAACAAAAATTGCCGCTTTTCTTCCCACAGCCCTCATTAAATACACTATATTGCCAAAAGTATTTGCTCACCCATCCAAATTATTGGAATCAGGTGTTCCAATCACTTCCATGGCCACAGGTGTATAAATTCAAGCACCTAGGCATGCAGACTGTTTTTACAAACATTTGTGAAAGAATGGGTCGCTCTCAGGAGCTCAGTGAATTCCAGCGTGGAACTGTGATAGGATGCCACCTGTGCAACAAATCCAGTCGTGAAATTTCCTCGCTCCTAAATATTCCACAGTCAACTGTCAGCTGTATTATAAGAAAATGGAAGTCTTTGGGAACGACAGCAACTCAGCCACGAAGTGGTAGGCCACATAAACTGACGGAGCGGGGTCAGCGGATGCTGACGCGCATAGTGCGAAGAGGTCGCCAACTTTCTGCAGAGTCAATCACTACAGACCTCCAAACTTCATGTGGCCTTCAGATTAGCTCAAGAACAGTGCGCAGAGAGCTTCATGGAATGGGTTTCCATGGTCGAGCAGCTGCATCCAAGCCATACATCACCAAGTGCAATGCAAAGCGTCGGATGCGGTGGTGTAAAGCACGCCGCCACTGGACTCTAGAGCAGTGGAGACGCGTTCTCTGGAGTGACGAATCGCGCTTCTCCATCTGGCAATCTGATGGACGGGTCTGGGTTTGGCGGTTGCCAGGAGAACGGTACTTGTCTGACTGCATTGTGCCAAGTGTAAAGTTTGGTGGAGGGGGGATTATGGTGTGAGGTTGTTTTTCAGGAGCTGGGCTTGGCCCCTTATTTCCAGTGAAAGGAACTCTGAATGCTTCAGCATACCAAGACATTTTGGACAATTCCATGCTCCCAACTTTGTGGGAACAGTTTGGAGCTGGCCCCTTCCTCTTCCAACATGACTGTGCACCAGTGCACAAAGCAAGGTCCATAAAGACATGGATGACAGAGTCTGGTGTGGATGAACTTGACTGGCCTGCACAGAGTCCTGACCTCAACCCGATAGAACACCTTTGGGATGAATTAGAGCGGAGACTGAGAGCCAGGCCTTCTCGTCCAACATCAGTGTGCGACCTCACAAATGCGCTTCTGGAAGAATGGTCAAAAATTCCCATAAACACACTCCTAAACCTTGTGGACAGCCTTCCCAGAAGAGTTGAAGCTGTTCTAGCTGCAAAGGGTGGACCGACGTCATATTGAACCCTATGGATTAGGAACGGGATGTCACTTAAGCTCATATGTGAGTCAAGGCAGGTGAGCAAATACTTTTGGCAATATAGTGTAGTTTAAGCCCCTCACCTCAGGCTCTCTTATTTCTGATTTCTTCTCATTAATCAGTTTTGTCCATATATTACCTCCACAAACAATTAATTTACAAAAACAAATAATTTTTACAACTTAATTCTTTTACACAGATTCGTTGACTTATTCAATTACACCAAACTGGATTTGAACCCAGCAAAGATGCAGCCAGACTGAAGATGACAAGTCCCCGTAGCATAAACACGTACACACCCACACCCCCCCCACACACACACACACACACCCACACCCCCCACACACCCACACACACACATACACACACGGCTAACCCCACTGAAATATTAAGTGTGCACCCTCAATATGCCAGCAGGTAACCAGGAACAGCTTGTGTGTTTTAAGTTCATGGAGCTACTGGGCTCAGCGCGAGTGTATTGGTCCTCACAAACACAGTATAACAGGAACGTGTGTGTGGCGCGCAAAGTTAGAGAGGTTGTTTTAAGCGAGGAGGTGGATTCGTCACAGTCACAATAACCATGAAATGAAATGTTCATATCCTACAACAGGGATGTTCTTCCGGCAAACGGGTAGATAAATAAGGATCTCACCGAATTTGGTGGAAGCTGCATCTTCCTTGTTACGTTCGCCATCGTCCCTCTCATTGTCTGCACCTGCGCTTGGGTTCAGAAGCCTGTTAAAGCGCAGTATTTTCAGCGCCCCAAGACCATAAAGTTCCGAGACGCTGATTGGCCATTAAATTCACCTAGCAAAAGTACATGATTGACAGATTCTCTGCAAATGTGGGTCAGTCTGATCACAGCCCCCAGAACAGAGACGGTAGGAGTCTGTCTGTGGAAATCCACAAATTAATGACAGTAGATAGGGAAATGTAGTTTATATAATTTGTTTTGCTTATAGGTACACAGTCTAGAGAGTAAAACTGACATTTATGATTTAATTTCTAAAAATATATTTTACGTTTCTCTCTTCTTATCAGGGAGGGCGGTGCCCCAGCGCCCCCTATGGGCCGGCCGCCACTGGTTGGGTGGTGTAAGAGTTGGGAGATTTGAATGTTCAGGGGGCCTTATGTGATCTCAATATTATATACAGAAAAGGAAATCTTCCCAAGAACAGGTAATAGCTGTCTGTCTTATAGTTGCCTCAGACATCTGTGCTTTTGGCATCAAATACAGTAGGAGACAAGGCATAAATCATCTGTTTGGATGAAGAACCAAATGGTCTGCATTTGGATCTGGATACATTTCCTCCATCTTTAGTCTGAACTGATGCATAAGGACAGATTGATGCAAAGTTTAGGACGGGAAGAAACATCTCTGAGAGTGGTGGCGTGGGGTCTAGATGTTATTGTACATGCTGTCCAGCAGTATTCTATGACTCATAAAAGATGAAGCCTTGACAGAATAAATGCTTCTGCAATGCGGCATCATTAGGCTCAGTTTTTTCTTTTGCATTAAATACCTAAGGAACAAAACAGTTTAATAGGCAGTCTGGTCTTGAAAAGAGGTGAAGCACATCGGGATATGAGAATTTATATAGAGGTGAGCACTATCTGTAGGGGGTGAGACATAATCAGTGCGCCTCAAGCTTAGAGGACATTGGAGGGGTAATTAAAATTCAGATGAGGAGATCGGAGTAGGGATATGACAGGCCTGCTAATGTTAGCAAAATAAATAGAAAGCTTAATTAACATGTCAAAAGGCCTTCAGCACTGAATCTGTAGAAAGAGTATCGAGACAGAAGACAGCAGACTGACAGCTGGATTCTTTACATGACATCTTGCATTGAAAAAAATTGAATTTGATGAATGCACAAGTTATAAAAGCATCTGGGAAGTTGTCAAAGTTGCACTTAAATAAATCTTTAAGGGTGAAGAAAATACTTTCTTAGTTAACATATAAGTAGCAAGTGGGAATTTAAATTTATATGAAAAACATTTTCCCAGTTGGTTAGTCTAAAAGTCTTGGGTTTCCCACTAGTTTTATGTTACTAATTTTAAGGCAAAACTAGCCATGTAAAGCTGACTTAGCCGCAGCCACATTCCCTGATTAGCACTAACAATTATATTGCACGGATTAGTAGCACACCTAAGTGCCTTTGCCAGGGAGCACATCAACATCTGTAAAAAGGAATTTGGAATCAAACCCACAACCTCCCAAAAGAAAGGCAAAACTTCCCCGCTGTTCATTAAAAAACAGATCAGATACAGGGGGAGCATAAAAAGGGACAGAAAATGCTACGCCATGTTTGCCAATAACTATCCAAGATAACCAACGTATCTGGAGAATCAAGCAACATCCAAATATAAGATGATGTGGTCAACCATTTTTTCTCTGTATTAAAACTTATATACGAAGTGCTTATTGAACTTATTCCTGCGGTTGCCAATGGTAACCATAAAATAACACTGATCAGCCAGCTAATTTAAATACACACTGACATTTATGCAGTGTCCATGTATGGTTGAATATGGGCTAGTAGGGCTTAACAGAGGGGAAGCCTCACGTTTGCAAACCTTGAAATGCAGCTTTGGTTTATAAAGGAAAATTGCTTTGTTTTGTGTGTGCTCGTCGTTTTACAAATCTTTTTTTTTTTTTTTTTTTTTGTGGCCTTGTGGTAACTTTTAATCTAATAAGAGAGCCTTTTTGGTACTCAAATTCCAATTTAGAGAATTGTACTTGTGCTTTAATATTGACTTTTACAGAAACATAGGATTGAGACATGAGCAGCTGAAGTGAACTTAAAGTAGCTGAGGTGCATCTGTCTTTTATTATATACAGTTGTGGTCAAAAGTGTACCTACACTTGTAAAAAATCATAATGTTATGGCTGTCTTGAGTCTTCAATAAGTTCTACAACTCTTATTTTTCTGTGATAGAGTGATCGGAACACATACATGTTTGTCACAAAAAACAGTCATAAAATTTGGTTCTTTCATAAATTTATTATGGGTCTGCTGAAAATGTCACCAAATCTGCTGGGTCAAAAATATACATACAGCAACAAAATTTGTCAACTTTGGTGATGTAGCGAGTTGTGTCAATCAAATTAGCTTCATGTCATGGCCTCTTCACTTCTTCTAAGTGATTCTGATTGACTACAGCTGTTGACTTCTCATGAGCCCATTTAAATAGGGCTCATTTGACCCAGTGATTAGACTCAGTTACAAAAGCTACAATGGGAAAGTCAAAGGAACTCAGTGTGGATCTGAAAAAGCGAATTATTGACTTGAACAAGTCAGGGAAGTCACTTGGAGCCATTTCAAAGCAGCTACAGGTCCCAAGAGCAACTGTGCAGACAATTATACGCAAGTATAAAGTGCATGG